AACATAGTCTACTAACGGTTCCAAGCCAAGATTTTCGAAATATTCAGTTTCTAAATAAATTTTTTTAAAATTCCCAAGAATGGCCAGATTTTATTTTGGCGATTCTGAAAAATGTTTGAAATTATGTAAAAAAAAACCCAAACTAACTTCTACACATCGAATTGAACCCAAATATTACTTTAGTGAGTTTTCAAAACTGTTCGAAAGAAGGCCAAAAATTTCATAAAGGGGGGGATATCAAAAAATTGAATTTTCATCAAAAGTTCTCTAAAAATGTACAAAAAACTCTGAGATATCGATATTGACGATGTGATTCGAAAACTAGAGCCTATTGATGGTTCCAGACAAAGATTTTCAAAATATTCGTTTCAAAATCACATTTAAAAAAAATCAAAAATGGCCATATTTCATTTTATCGATTCTGAAAAATGTTTTTAGTTTTCGAAGAAATGAAACCGAAAATAACTTCTATAAATCGAATTCAACCCAGATATTTCTTTAGTAAATTTTCAAAACTCCTAGAAAAAGTGTCGAAAATTTCATCAAAGAAATTGTGCTTTCAGGAAAGATGCCTAAAAATCTTCAATCACTTCTGGGATATCGATAACGACGAAATGATTCCAAAAACATAGCCTACTGATGGTCTCAAAGCAACATTTTCTAAATATTCGGTTTCAAATTCAAAAGTGGTGATGTTCCATTTTGGCGACTCTGATAAATGTTTGTAATTTTCCAAAAAAATAAAGCCGAAAATAGTTTCTAGGAATCGAAATCAACTCAAATATCTCTTGAGTTCATTTTTAAAACCGTTCGGAAAAAGGCCAAAAATTTCAAAAAAATCTATCGAAAAACTGAGCTTTCAGCAAAGTTGCCTAAAAATTTACGAAAAATTTTGGATTATCGATATCGATGAGCTAATTCGAAAAACATAGTCTATTAATGGTCCCAAGCCCAGTTTTTCGAAATATTCAGTTTCTAATTAACATTTTTGACAATTCTCAAAAATGGCCATATATTATTTTGGTGATTCTGAAAAATGTTTCAAATTATGGCAAAAAAAGTGGAACCCAAAATAACTTCTACACATCGAATTTTATCCAAATATTACTTTAGTAAGTTTTCAAACTATTCGGAAAAATTCTCAAAATTTCATAAAGAGGGATATCAAAAAATTGAGCTTTCAACAAAGTTGCCGAAAAATCTGCAAAAAATTTTGGGACATTAATATTGACCAGCTGATGTGAAAAACATAGTCTGCTGATAGCCCCAGATCAAGATTTTCGAAATATGTATTCGGTTTCAAAATCACTTTAAAAAATAATAATAATAAAAATGGTAATGTTCCATTTTGACGAATCTGAAAAATGTTTGCAATTTTCGAAAAAAATAAAGCCGAAAATAACTTCTACAAATCGAAATCTTATATCTATTTAGTTAATTTTCAAAACCGTCTTGAAAAAACACAAAAATTTCATAAACGGAGAGAATCGAAAAACTGAGCTTTTAGCAAAGTTACCAAAAATTTACAAAAAATTCTGGGATGTAAATAGATATCGACGAGTTGCTTCGAAAAACATAGTTCCAGGCCCAAATTTTCGAAATATTCAATTTCTAAATAAGATTTTTTTAAATTCCCAAAAACGGCCATATTTCATTTTGGCGATTCTGGAATTTTCGAAAGGATGAAACCGAAAATAACTTCTACAAATAGAGGTCAATCCAAATTTATTTTTAGTTAATTTTCAAAACTGTTTGGAATAAAGCCAAAATTTCATAAAACGAAAAATCGAATTTTCAGCAAAGTTGCCTAAAAATGTACTAAGAATTCTGACTATGCGATTCGAAAAATATAGCGTTTTGAGAACCCCAGACCAAGATTTTCGAAACATTCGGTGTCAAATTCGAATTTTAAAAAACTCTCAAAAATAGTCAAAAATGTTGGAATTTTCGCAGAAATGAAACCGAAAATAACTTCTAGAAATCGAAATCAACTCAAATATCTTTTTAGATCATTTTCAAAACCGGTCGGAAAAAGGCCAAAAGTTTCATATTGAAAAAGTGAGCTTTCAAGAAAATTTTCTAAAAGCTACAAAAAAATCTGAAATATTGATATTGACGAGCTGATTCTAAAAATATAGCTTATTGATGGTCCCAGAACAAAATTTTCGAAATATTTGTTTCAAAATCACATTTAAAAAAATAATCAAAAATTCAAAAATGGTCATATTTCATTTTATCGAATCTGAAAAATGTTTGTAATTTTCCAAGAAATGAAACCGAAAATAACTTCTATATGTCAAATTCAATCCAGAAATTTCTTTAGATAATTTTCAAAATTCCTCGAAAAAAAAAGCCGAAAATTTCATGAAAGGGGGTATCGAAAAATTGAGCTTTTTGGAAAAATGGCTAAAAATCATCAAAAAATTCTGGGATATCGATAACGACGAAATTATTCTAAAAACAGAGCCTATTGATGGTCTCAGAACAACATTTTCTAAATATTCGGTTTCAAAATCAAAATTTTGCAAATCCCCAAAAATGATGGTGTTCCAATTGGCCGCAAATAGTTTCTACGAACCTGAATCAACTCAAATATCTCTTGCGTTCATTTTTAAAACCATTCGGAAAAAAAGCAAAAAATTTTATAAAAATCTATCGAAAAACTGGGCTTTCAGCAGTTACCTAAAAATTTACAAAAAATTTTGGATTATCGATATCCATGAGCTAATTCGAAAAACACAGTCTATTAATGGTTCCAAGCCCAGATTTTCGAAATATATTCTATTTCTAATTAACATTTTTGACAATTTCCAAAAATGGCCATATATCATTTTGGTGATTCTGAAAAATGTTTAAAATTATAGAAAAAATAGAACCCAAAATAACTTCTACACATGGAATTTCACCCAAATATTACTTTAGTGAGTTTTGAAACTATTCAGAAAAAGGCCCAAAATTTCATAAAAGGAAGTATCGCAAAATTGAGTTTTCAGCAAAGTAGCCTAAAATTCTACAAAAAATTTTGGGACATTGATATTGACGAGCTGATGTGAAAAGCATAGTCTGCTGATAATCCCATATCAAAACTTTCTAAATATTCGGTTTCAAAATCACATTAAAAAAAAACAAAAATGGTAATGTTCCATTTTGGCGAATCTGAAAAATGTTTGAAATTTTCGAAAAATTCTGGGATATAGATATCGAGGAGTTAATAAGAAAAACATAGTTCCGGGCTCAAATTTTAGAAATATTTAGTTTCTAAATAACATTTCTAAAAATTCACAAAAATGGTCATATTTCATTTTGGCGATTTTGAAAAATGTTTGACATTATGGAAAAAAAAGAACCCAAAATAACTTCTACACATCGAATTTAACCCGAATATTGCTTTCAAAACTGTTCGGTAAAAGGTCAAAAATTTCATAAACAGAGAGTATCGACAAATTGAGTTTCCAGCAAAGTTGCCCAAAAATGTGTAAAAAATTTTGGGATATTGATATCGACGAATTCGTTCGAAAAACATAGTCTATTCATCGTCCTAGATCAAGATTTTCAAAGTATTCGCTATCAAAATCATTATTTACAAATTCCTAAAAATGGTCATATTTCATTTTGACGATTCTGGAATTTTTGAAGGAATGAAGGCGAAAATAATTTCTACAAATAGAGATCAGCCTACATTTATTTTTAGTTAATTTTAAAAATTGTTTCATATTGAAAAACTGAGCTGTCAGGAAAATTTTCTAAAAACTACAAAAAATTCTGGGATATCGATATTGAGAAGCTAATTCTAAAAAGTACTGAAAACATAGCTTATTGATGGTCCCAGAACAAGATTTTCTAAATATTCGTTTCAAAATCACATTTAAAAAAAAATCAAAAATGGTCATATTTCATTTTATCGATTCTGAAAAATATTTATAATTTTCGAAGAAATGAAACCGAAACTAACTTCCTTAAATCGATTTCAACCTAGATATTTCTTCAGTTAATTCTCAAAACTCCTCGAAAAAAGCCGAAAAATGTATAAAGGGGAGTATCGAAATATTGAGGTGGTTTCAGAAAAGATGTCTAAAAATCTTCAAAAAATTCTAGGCTATCAATATCGACCAACTGATTCGAAAAATATAGCCTATTGGTGGTCTCAGACCAATTTACTAATATTTGATTTAAAAATCACATTTTTACAAATCCCCGTATTCCTTTAGTTAATTTTCAAAATTCTTCGAAAATAAGTCAAAAATTTCATAAAGGGGGGTATCTAAAAATTGAGCTTTCGGCATATTAAGCTATTGATTGATTATCCCCGACCAAGATTTTATGGTCCTAGACCAACATTTTCGAAATATTTCGTTGCAAAATCAAATTTTTAAAATATCCTTAGAGTGGCCACCTAATAGTAATTATTAATTTAAAAAACCCTCAGAAATGGTCATTTTTCATTTCGGCCAATCTGGAAAACAGTAATATTTATGTCACCATTAACATTACTAAAAATGGTAGATTCTTTTTTTTAATATTCTATATAGCGATTTTCTAAATTTCTGCTCTAGTTGGCAATGACACTTACGTCAGCCGTTTCATTTGCAATAACCTGACCTGATGTGACCTAATGTAAGCATCATGGCCAACTAAAGTAAAATTTAAAAAATCAAACAGTATAGTAACATTGCTCATATTTTTTTTAATCCTTACACCGAGTGACTATTAATGTTTGTGATTTTTTTTTGTCAGGTTGGCGACCTATTTAAAATTACCCAATTGTCAAAATAACTTTTGCCATCGTCTCAACCAACCAACACGTTTGTTGCACATGTCAAAATTGACAGCTGTGAATTGACATCTTTGCATGCCAACAATTCAGTATTGCCAACACAAAATTATAATTTATTCTACGTCTTTACTCTACCCTCCAACCTTTATATATTTTATTTAAAAAAAGTGCACACTTGACGAAGTCACAGGCACAATATTTTTAGCACAACGCCCGGTTTTCTCACCTGCAGAAAAACTCCGGGCGGATCCGATACCGGGCCAAGAAGTCGTCGTAGACCCTGAGCATGGCCAGCAGGTGTCCCGCGACCACGGCGCCCTGCTCGTACGTCTCGTCCGGCAACAACATGCTGGAGGCATCGTCTTCGTCGCGTCGCCCTCGCGCACCCGAACTCGAACACTCAAACTCGCCACTCTCCAGTAAGTTACTCGCGACCTCACACCACAAGCACAACAACACTGCCCGTTACAATTATCCTCATGCCTGTTCTTATTAAGTTATCGTGTTCTAGACGTCATTGATCCGCCGGATGCCTCTTCACTTGTTGCACTTTCTATTTTCCTTGCCGATGGAACCTGAAAGTAAGTCGGATGCGTTATGGGGTTTTGCCGGATTTTGCACTTATATGCTATATTGGATTAAAAAAAGATTTTAATTGTGTTCAACAGTACAACAGGAAGTGGAATTAACGTAATAAACCAAATTGCAATTATGAAAATTCACACATACTAAATAAAGCCTCATATAATAAATTTTATATCGTTACGGTGAAACAATACACGACTTACCATGCTTGTAATTAAATATTTAAACACACCGTAATTTTAAAACGCATACTAATTTTGACAAGTTGTGTGGAAAAGTAGCTCTCGCCACCCACCGCCTCGCCGAAATTATTTATAAAATTAAACAACCCAAAGCAGATAACATCACCGTTAAACAGCAGTTAAGCGGAATATTTAAATTTAAATTAAGAAATGATTCCTAATTAATTTTAATTATGACAGTTTCAGGAGCTGTTAATTTCTCCTTAATGTCAAAGACATAGTTTTTATTTACACAGAGCGGGCCGTTTCGTTTTCGTCGTCCTTTCCTGGAACTCCACAATCCATAAAAACGTCAGCTTACTTAATCGTTATTATCCTCGATAATAACCCGTAATAGAAAGAACAAAAATAGCCGAAATTTGTGGAATTCATGCACGTTTACTGTTATGATGGTACGAGATTACTTGCCATGGAACGGTATTCAAATCTAGCGAGGCAAAAAACCAGAAACACTGTGATTAAAAAAACTAGTATTAAGATAATACGGAAAGGACTTAATAGGTAAGTAGATAATTACGTAGCAGAGATCCGCAGCAACGCACATGAAGGATGCACGAGCGTGGGATCTTGAAAGTAGGTAATAACGACGAAAAAAGTACTAAAAGTAGGAAGGTTCGGTGGAATCGGGCAACGAGCAATTTGCCGAACAATAAAAAATCGCACGCATTAGAAACCTGAATCGAGCGGTGGTGATTATACGTTTAGGGTCGGCTGACTTCGAACAGTGCTTTACAAAAAAGTGGGAAACTATTGAAAATGAAAATAAATGTATGCAGGGGTGTTAACATAGTTGTCGAGGCGTCAGCCGAGTTTTTTTATGTTGCTCGTTGTAACAATTCCATATAAGAAATACATAGATGTAGAAAAATTTAGACTTCGCTACAGAACTAGAATTGAAGAATTAAGTTGCATAATTTGGCGAGCAAATCTCAGAAGGATCCTCTTTTGAAATAAAAAAAAAATGTAGATGTGAATTCGAGAAAATTCTAGAAGAACTCTACTTCTGAAAGGTATAGACAAGGAATTAAGATTTGAAAACATTATTTTGGGAAGCAAATTTACTCTGACGAATTCAAAAATATTTGAGAATCCAAAGTTCCATTCTAGAAGAACTCTTAGAACTAAGAAACTTTAAATTCAACTGAAGACAGAATTGAAGAAAAAACAATATCCTGGACTTTGTTAACGGATCGAAGGGAGTTTGTAGACGTGAATTCTAGAGGAATTCTACTTCTATAACGAGAAGAGCCAGAAGAATTTCAATATAAAGCTTAATTTCAAGAAACATCAAGTGACAAAACTTCGACAAGATTCTACAATATTCTAGTGAGAAGCAACGCTACACTTGTGAATTCTCGAATCTTCAATCATCTAATGAAAAGAAGATCTCAAGATTTTCGATTCAGCTATAAGACTAAAGTAAAGAGAGCAGTTAAATGACTTGAATCCGAGAAGATTCTAGAAGAATTCTTGGTCGAGCAAGAAGACGCAAAAAATTCAACTTTATTAATGGATTGTATGGAAGGTAAGAAAAAAGAAGTTAACCATGTGTGAAACTTCAAAAGTTTTATTTTAAAACGAATACAGACATTTCATTCCGCAGTGTAAAACTGAAGTGCTAAAATGAAGATAACTCACAGAATTTATATATATAGTTCTAGAACAATTCTAGTTACAGAACAAAAGATCTAAAGATCTAAGAATATTCTAGAAGAATTCTCTTTTGAACAAAAAGGAAGACAGAGAATTCGATTACATTAGCGGATCGAAGGTAAAAACGAAGAATTTGAAGTTAAATAATGTCACCTACAGATTTCTAGATGTTGTTAATGAATCTAAGGAAGTTTGTAGAAATTAATTCTACCAAGTTCTAAAAGAATTCTATTTCTGAGACGAAAAGAGTCATAAACTATGAAACTTAATGTTAAAAGACAATATAAGTGACATTTCTCTGGACTCTTCAATCAATCAAAGTATGTATAATTCTAGAAGAATTCTAGTCATAGAAAAGAAGATCTAAAGTATCTGGATTCAGTTAGACTTGAGTTTGAGAATATTCTAGGAGAGTTCTCTTTTGCAAAAGAAGAGAGACAGAATTAGCTTGAGATTACATTAGCTGATCCAAGGTAAGGAGAAAGAATTTAGGGAGTATTTGAAAGTTCAGAAAAGTTTTATTTTAAAACGAAGGCAAACAAAAAAATTTCTAACTCCACAGTATAACAATGAAGTGTCGAAATAAAAATAACTATCATACATTCTTGAATATTCTAGAATATTTTGGTAAAAACGAACTCTGCCTTTTTGGTTCTACAATATTCAGAAAGTTGAAATTAGATTCTAGAAGAATTCCATTAGTAAAAGAGATATATAAGAACTTCGATTTAACACATTGGGAATAGAGTTAAAGAAGGAAGTTAAATAACGTCACCTACAGAATCCTAGATGTTGTTAATGAATCTAAAGAAGTCCTAAAAAGTTCTAAAAAAATCTATTTCTGAAACTAAAAAAGGCCCTAAAATTGTAATCTTCAGTATAGAACTTAATGTAAGAAACAATAAGTGACACAATTTCCAGAAGCAATGTTACCGTCGGGACTTTTGGAATCTACAGCCATTCAAAGTATAATTCTAGAAGAACTATAGAAGAGAAAATCTGAAACATCTGGATTGAGTTAGAGTTGATATTCTAGAGAAGTTTTATTTTAGAACGAGGACAGACAGAAAAATTTCTGTCTCCGTAGTGTCACGCTACACTGGGGTGTCTAAAGAAAGATAACTGTTAAAAAGTTCGTGAATATTCTAGAATATTTTGGTAAAAACGAACTCTGCATTTTTGGTTCTACAATATTCAGAAAGTTGAAATTAGATTCTAGAAGAATTCCATTAGTAAAAGAGATATATAAGATCTTCGATTTAACAATGGGAGTAGAGTTGAAGAAGAAAGTTAAATAACGTCACCTACAGAATCCTAGATGTTGTTAATGAATCTACAGAAGTCCTAAAAAGTGCTAAAAAAATCTATTTATGAAACTAAATAAGGCCCTAAAATTGTAATCTTCAGTATAGAACTTAATGTAAGAAACAATAAGTGACACAATTTCCAGAAGCAATGTTACCGTCGGGACTTTTGGAATCTACAGCCATTCAAAGTATAATTCTAGAAGAACTATAGAAGAGAAAATCTGAAACATCTGGATTGAGTTAGAGTTGATATTCTAGAAAAGTTTTATTTTAGAACGAGGACAGACAGAAAAATTTCTACCTCTGTAGTGTCACACTGGAGTGTCTAAAGAAAGATAACTCTCAAAATTTCGTGAATATTCTAGAATATTCTATCAAAAAAGAACCTTGCCTTCATTAATCCAAGTTGGCAGACGTGAATTTTAAAATAATTCTATTTCTGAACTTAAAAAAAACATAAAACTTTCATGATCTCTACAATCTTCAGTCATTCGAAATATAATTCTAGATGAATTCTAGTTAGAGAAGGGAAGATCTAACGAATCTGGATTTAGTTATACTTGAGAATATTCTAGAAGGTTCTATTTTGAAAAAGAAGAAAGGGAGAGAATTCGATTTCATTAGGAGATCGAAGGTTCCGTAGAAGAATTTAGCAGACATGTAAAAGTTTGTAAACGTGAATTCTAATAAGTTCTAAGTATTCTATTTCTGAACCGAAAACAGTTGTAAAACTTTCATCTCCATCATGTAACGTAAGTTAAGAGAAAATAAGTGATAAAATTTCGAGAGGCAACGTTACCTTCGTGATTTCTGTAATCTTCAGTCATTCATAATATAATTCTAGAAAAATTCTAGTTAGAGAAAGGAAGATCTAACGATGTTGGATTCAGTTATACTTGAGTATGAGAATATTATAGAAGAGTTTTATTTTGAAAAAGAAGAAAAAGAGAAAATTCGATTTCATTAGCAGAAAGGAGAAGAATTTAGCAGATATGTGAATGTTTGTAGACGGGCATTCTAATAAAATCTAAGAATTCTATTTCTGAACCGAAAACAATTGTGAAACTTTCATCTACATCATATAATTTAAGTTAGAAGAAAATAAGTGACAAAATTTCGAGAGGCAACGTTACCTTCGTGATTTTTGGAATCTTCAGTCATTCGAACTATATAATTCTAGAAGAATTCTAGTTAGAGATGAGAAGATCCAAAAATATCTCAGTTACACTGTGAATCTGAAAAGACTCTACACTATTCTATTTTGAAGAAGAAAAGAAGAAATAATTTGACGATTGACGACAGAATATTCTGTTACAAATTAATTTCTCTCCTCTAGGACATTAGAATAATTTAATTTAGAAGCAAATTGAGTAGGAATATTCTATAAACTCCCGTTTCAAAAGTACTACATATAAAAAAATTAATATTTTTATCCTAGAAAATTAATCTTGTACAATTAGCGTCTTGAAATTTGCGCTTATTTTCAGTGCCACTGTTCTGTTCTAAAAACTAGGGAATCTGTGTGTGATCAATTTAGCGAATTTGTTGCCAAGAGCGCTTGGTAACTGGACACTGCTTTAGGCGTTCGTCTGCTGTGAATCTCATTTGACTCGTCAGCTCAGAAGCACGTATTTAAAGTTTAAAAAGTACCTTAACATCAAATTTTAACTAACTTAATCGCAAATTCTAATTTTGAAAAGTTTTTAAAGTAGTTGCTAATGGACATAATTTTTTTTCTCAAATCGGCTAATTTTACGAAAACTTGAAAAATCCGCCTTTGATAATGTA